TGAATGTACAATCCAGGTTGGCAAGAAAAGCACATCTCACCAGCAAGAATGGTCCATAATTCTAGGCCTTATGTCATTTCAATCAATGCTGAACTGTCGTGGGCCTATGACAATTTCCTTGATGAGCTGTGTGTTCCCTTGGACAAAAAAATCAATCACATAAATGAATGGTAGCATGATACAAGAGAGCTTTTTGTCTTTGATAGGCTATTCAAGATTCTGCTATCAATTCTGACCAAACAGAGCACAACCCCACATTCTACTAAAGTCTCTCTCACTCCCTATCATATATATCTCACAAGTGAAAATAACACGAATGGCTGTATGGATTATACCAGAGGAGGGGTCGCACTTTATTCCCACTAATCACTTATTCCTTCTAACATCAGCCAACACAGCTAATAGATGCATGTACACTAGAGGGCAGGCATCAGTGGCAGCTAATTCTTCAATCCAAGAACACTAGAAGCAGTAGTATTATGCTTGGCACATGCAATCAGGAGCAGGATAGGTATAAAGGGACTGCTCTTTTTTGCGTAGTCTGATAATCCCTTGTCTATTTTTATGGCCTTCAATTATTGCCTCTTGGAACTCAGGCCAAGTCAGGTTTTTGTTTAGGAAGAGAGGGCCTAACAATGCCATGTTAGGCCTTATGGTCTTCATATTGATATAAGTTCGATGTCCCACCTGTACAATTTCAACATTTTATTAGAATCAGAGTGTATTGGAAGAACTTAAAAAGGACAGAATCAGCAGAAATAGCAGATTTTGAACGTTATCAGACAAAAAATGAAAGCTGTAATAAAAGTTGCAAGTAAATTCCTCAACTAAACTGCACTTTCCTATAATAAGAATGACCTCAGGTAGTAATTATAGACTTAGATTCTGCAAGTAAATTTTGGCCGAAACTACTTTTCAACAAATTCCATGGAAACTACTTTTAACCCACCCTCTCCTGCAAAGGAAATATCTCTAATAAAGAATTTTGGTCACAGAAGCGAAATTATATAGTGGCAATTAGCTGTACATCTTACCATGGCATTGTGCATATTTCCTGGAGAAGCAGAAACAAATATATCGCTATGCATGCTGACATAGTAATCAACCGCAGCTAATAAGGAAGCTTTTCCTTTAATCTTGACTCTTTCCTCTGAAGACGCAAGGCTCTTCTTATCTTCCATAAGCGGGAACAAGCTTCGTAGGGTTGAAATCCTGGCTTCGCCACCATAGACCTGGAAAGGATGATACGGCTAACTTCAGAAACCATGGATGAATACTTTTGTAAAGTAAATCTAAGCTTTCAAGCGGTAATTATAATGTTTAGTATATTATGATGGCTCCAATAATACAAACCTTATGGGACGCCAGATATAGGCGGGTATTGTTGTCAAATCCCAAAGCTGCAAGCACAAGTCCAATCTCTTCTGGTGTCAATGGGCACCGCCCCTGGCTTCTCAACTCCTCATCAGTAAATTGAGAATTCAAGACCCTTCCTTGCCATATTACTTGGCGATACTTTGCCAAAGCCAGTTTTTCAGCCTTGCCCCCTCCAAAATCACAAGCTGAATGAGCAGCCATATCCTACAAAAGTAAGCCGGTCAAGGAGGAGTGAAGACATGGAATGCAATGCAGAGACATCCTCGGCCAAAAAGATATGTTGCAAACTATTATCTGATAAAGATGTTAATCTCTATTTGCCTGAAGATTCAACGATACCTTATCAAACCGAAGATGTAGGACAACAAACTTCCCTGCTGCCTGGTCGTCTCTAGAACCACTAACCTCCCTGATGTAGTTATCACCCACCATCTCATTCCTGCTAGGGGAATACCTTAGGCGACTGACAAGAGCGTCTCCAAGAGCTCTGATGTGAGGCACAAAAACTAAGGCTTGAAAGTTCACTTTGCAGCGCAAGCGTTGGACTTCCATAGGCATGTTGTCAAAGTCCAATCGGTGAGAAAATGGAGCAATTGCGGCAACCCCGTAGCTGACGATTTTCAGCAATGCTTCAGTGTGTCAGTGGAGGTTCTTAAAGCAAGTGACGGCTACTTATACAACTAATAGGTCAGAAAACAAATTGAACACAAGTATCCAAATGGGCAGACTTTTTGTTCCCAATTCTTCTAAAAATCAGGGGAACAAAATATATCCAGTTTCAAACAAATCATATAAGAATTGCATAGTTCAAACCTTAATGAACTAACAATTTACAATAAACAGCATTCTTTGGTGATAAAAAATCCATTTGTTGCTCTAATTTTCAAAGAAAAACTTCAAGTTTTTCACCAACCTTTGCAGGACAGGCAAGACATTCTCCAGATACCAATGAGCTGAAGCACGAACAGGAGCTGTTTTAATTCTGGTAGATCGAATGGCTGCAGCATAATACTCCCGAGTGCTCCATGAGTATTCATCAGGCAACTCCTTAACTACACGAATATCATCTTTAAGTACGCTGATGAAGTGATCCACATCAAAGATTTCCATAAATGTGCTGCAAGAAGAATGCAGAGAGTGTGGGCCATTTCATCTAAATAGTTCATAGCAACACTACTGCAAAAATCTCCAAAAAAAAAAAGAACAAATTTACAGCAAAAGCAATTTCTTTAGAAGGACCTTGAATCTTGCCAAACAGGGTTGACTTCCAGATAAGGGATAACAAGGGTTGCATTCAGAATTTTTGCAACAGCAACAGCATCACAAATCTGTTCTAGACAACAAAAAAAGTATTAGGGAATATGCAAATCCCAGAAAAAAAAAATTTGTAGTTGCATAAGTTGTGCTTTTTGTTTTTGCACTGAGCTAGTGAGATAACTGTTAAAGCTTACCCCCATTCTCTGCTGATTCAGTCCGCCATCTAGGAACACCTGAATGTAACCTTCTGATGATTCAGGCAATCCTGGTTTTAAAAACAAAAATTATGAAGTCCATCAAGGAAGATCAACGGAATAATCTTTATATACGTATTGCATGCCACAAATTTAAATCTCACCCCTAAACAAATATCTTAAATAATGTACAGCTACTTCAAAATTCTGTCAAAAAACCCTTTTCACCACTTACTTGATGCCATGCCCGAGACTTTGCACGTTTTCCATTCTTGTTTAGGCAATGGTGTCCATAATTCAGACTGCTGCTCAAGTGACTAAACAAGAAAGGACATAAAATACTAAATAAACATTTCTAGTAAGAGAAATTTTCAAGTATACTTAGTAAAGGCTTACAGTTTCACGCTGCAAAGCACCCTTGAGTAGACGTGAATGCCTAGGTTTTGGAGTATTCCACTCCTGCAGAAAGAAATTAAGTAATGAATAAGTGAATTTCAATTGGTTTAAACATCCAAGTACAAACACTGAGCTAACTAAAACAGGTTAATATGCAAATATGGCCATCACTCCATAATTCCGAACATAATCTAGGTTTGATGTGAATTTAAATATCACTTAGCAAACAACTCTATACTATGGCATACCCTATTGATCTAGTTGCTTTAGAGATGTGCCAAAGGACACAGGCATGCGTACTAGGATTAAGCTAAGTCTTTTTCAATGTCATTTGGTAACAATTATCTAATTATGCCATCAAAGGAAAAGCTATAGGACATTACCAGCAGAATTACGTCATTTCAAGCCAAGCAACAACTAGTTCACCCCTTCATGCTTTGCCAACTTAGCTCGGAAACTCATTATACTTCTCCTAAACCTATGTTAAGTAACCTACAAAAGAACTAGGCAAATTACTTAAAACATGTTATCCTGGATGACATAATGCTCCGGGGGCTATTGACTAAGGAGGATTTTAGCTAGCAGAGTCTCCCTTTTCCGTAGACCATGTAATACCCCTTAAAACTAAGGGGGAAGACAGAAAGAAAAATGAAAACTCCAACCCAATCCCCCTCCCAAGATAGAACTCATTTCTCATTTTTGAGTACTAATTGTGTCTCCATACCACCACAAATCAGTTGACATTTTACCAATCCCAGCCAAGCACATCCAATTCACCAAATGCATAAGAAAGATTCAGTCAAACACATCAAAATACTTTTGCCCAGAAATCTGATTTGAGTTGCAAATAATCCATTACCATACAGCAACGGGGCAAAATTCCTTCCCTTGAGAACTTTATGACCATAATTAACGACCCTCTTCACGACTTGCCACTTTGGTAATAGAATCCATCAAATTCTTTTAAGTGACAGATATGAATGATAATAGCAGTATCCACAAACAAAGGCTTCACCGAACTTCTGATTAGGTATTCATTCTAAAACCGAGATTTCTACCTACTCGCTCCTAAACTCATAAGCAAATAAACAAACTTCCCTTCTAAAAATTTCACAACACTACATAAACGATCGTGTCTTTTTCACGTAATTATTCCTCCAAAAACAGACAAGGCAAGGCTTGAAAAAACTTCCCTTCAACCACAACTCAACAGAGACCACAATTCAAAAAAGTCTGAACAAGCAATCCACCACTGAGAATAATAAGAATTAGCTTAACAAAAACTACTTTCCCCTACAAATTACATAAAAACTTCAATAGAACATACCGAAATAACGGATGGTGAAGCATGGCTCAAAGGGGCAAAAAGACTAGGAAATAAAATAGGAAGAAGCAACACAAAAAGAATAGGCATAGCTCCTCTTCTGTTGTTCTGACGAGGGGGATAGCGTCCCATATGAGCAGTGGCTTTGCTCAAGCAAGCTCAAGACTTGATTTTGATAAATAAGGAACCACCAAGTCACAATCTTGAACCGCTACCCAAGTGATTCTCATGGAGGGGAGCCACAGTAAAGAGGGGCCATTATCATTACCAACCTCAGCGAGAGCAGCAGCTGTGGTTAAAGCATCTCACATGGGCACCTCTCTCCACATCTCTCTTTTTGTGTATATTGAAGGGAAAAACCCACAAATCTTAAAGGCACCAGCTGCCAAAAAAATATATTGAGTTCCTCTCCTTTTTGCTTGTGCCTAATGATAGTGATAAACGTTTATACGTAAATGGCGTCCTCTTCAGGTTGAGAGTCCAGCCTCCCAACGGATAGATTTATAATTTGTTACAACAACAAAGACTAGTTCTGCTGCTATTTCCACTAGATTCTGTCATATGGGTTGGGAGTGAAAACCGAAAAGTGAAAAAAACAGCCCACCGAACTTTGGAGGGTACGTGGCAGCAATAGAACGAGGCACAGTGTCTTTTGTCGTCCTCGAGCTTAGGTATGCTTTCTCAGTTGGCTGGTTTACTTTTTGCTTTGGATTCATTGGCTTTTATCGCAATAGCACATCATTTTTGCAGAAATGACAATGGGATTTGGACCCTTTCGGTTCACCACCGACACTTGGACGGGCTAGAGTGATCCGAAGAATAATACCTCCAGATTTATGGTGCCCTTAATCATTAATGCTCACTATTTGGTGTTTTTGGGGGGGAGTTGGTGTAAATGTGGTGAATCGGAAATGCATAAATCGGTGTTTAGAACTCCTATGTTCCGGTGTGAACTGTAGGAAGACTTTTGCATCTTTTAATCCTTGCATTGGAATGTGTGGTCCTTTGTATAAAATGGGAGACAAGGAATCCAACAACCTATCTATCATCCAAGAAACTTCTCTTTTGGTTTTGGCACATCTCCCGGGTTTAATTTCATCATGATTCTTGAGTCCCGTGTATTTGGTTCTGAGATTAGTACCCTGCTTGATTTTTGATTTGGAATAAGTGAAGTGATTTCATAAACTTCTTTTTTATCACGTAAGGTGGATGGTACCATCCAATGAGGATGGCTCTAACTTAGGAGAAATTCTACCATCGTTATTTGAATGCTGCTATGTATTATGATCATAATCTAATAAATTCTTGATACATCATTCAATCATGCAAACTCTTAAAATCATTTAGGAACTATGGTGAATTAATACTCATGGGTATAGTACTCAAAATCAGCTTTGACAGAGGAATGTGCAAATGACTTTTATCCTTTTTATCCCACATTTTTGGAAATACTTTGGTTTGGATGAGGTTTAGATGATGTTGGGATCAATTTTACCACTCCCATGACCATCTAATTGTATATTTTCTACAAAATTGGGATAAATTTGGCTGGGATAATCGGTCATTATTGTGTATTTTCTTTCTCTAAACTTGCAATGACCGATTCAGATCCATCAAGGGAGTTGAGGGAAGCATGTTGAGAATAATCAGGGGCACGGATAATTACAAGTCCAATTTATTTGCTGATAAACCAATATTCTCGAACGTAAAGAGTAAAATAAGTAAATAACCTTATACTTTCCTTTGTTAGGTTTATTAGAATGCATACTTCGTTGTAAATTACCGCGTAGTAAGATAAAATATTATCTTGCACCCTTCAAGTACATAATAGTAACAATTTATTTTATAAAATTTATATTCATTTTGAATTTCGAATATCTAAATTTGAAGTATATCCATTCCCTATTTTTCAATAATGCATGCAGAGGAATATAGTAAGTATCTATAAGTCGAATCAAAATCCGATTTCCAGAGCATGGATTGTATATTAAGGAAGTCATAATACTCTCAACCTTCTACTCTATGCTAGTACATAGAATCCTGTGTGTTTGAATAAAAGATTATTTGAAATAATTACTATAGTGTTTTTTGCAATGTGATGATGTGATGCGTATAAAATAAAAAAGTGATTAAAAATATAAAAATGTGTTTGCAATGCAAAAAAATAATTAGCAAATTATTGAAATCCAAACACATTTTGAAATATTTGGATGGTGGGTTATTTGAAATATTATTTAAAATAATTAATGTATCACTTCAATTGTCTATATGATGTATGTGAAATGAAAATATGATTGGGAACATAAAAATGTATGTTGGAAGATGTGTTTATAATGCGCGCAAATAATTTTTTGCCAAATAACTATTATCCAAACACATTAATTAATTAATGTTTTCTAGCCATGAACAGCAAAATTAGATATTCCCACCACAAAATTAGTTACATCAACACTAATTGCAAATGCAATTATGCAATAAGTGATTTCCCACTTAACCTCTCTTTCAACAACCATAAATGAGGTTATAAAACTAAGTTGAAGGCACTAATAGATATGTGATTTCAATAGTTAGATCAACACTAATTGCAAATGCAATTATGCAAGAAGTGATTTCCCACTCAACCTCTCGTTCAACAACCATAAATGGGGTTGTATAACTAAGTTAAAGGCACTAATAGAGATGTGATTTCAATAGTCAATCCACTTATATTTATAGGTTATATTCCCACCACAAAATTAGTTACATCAATATTACTCCTTCGTCCAACTTTGATAGTTCTGGTTTTTTTTTTCACACAGTTTAAAAAAAATAGTTAATTTTGTTGAAACAATCAATTTATGTACCTATTTTTTTAAACTACCCTCACATTAATTAGAGTACAACTTTATGGAAACTTGAATTGATGGTAAAAAAAAAAATCAACTCTCATTAAATGGGGTAGGTTTATAGTAACAACAACTTACATTGAATAAGGGTATTTTAGAAAATTAAAATATAACTACATTTTTCGATTGAAAATTGAATTATAATTTGGGACAGACGAAAAAAAAAAAACAAAACTATTAAAGTGGAATGGAGGGAATAATTGCAAATGCATCAAGTGATTCCCCACTTAATCTCTCTTTCAACAACCATAAATGGGGTTATAAAACTGTGTTAATGGTACTAACGGGGATGTGACTTCACCAGCCATCCACTTGTATCTATGGGTTTGAGAGCTGAGATGAATTTAAGATACCCGGTTTGTGGGGGCAGAATTCATGAAAGTACTTTTTTCTGTATTTTTCCTGAGAAATGTGAAACTTTTTGACTTGCCGTACTGAAAGGGCAATTAAGCCAATCCCTGAACTAACGTGGAAAGACAGTTTTGTCACTCCAGAGTCAAGACTCTCTCCAGACCCTGTTGACCGGACCCTAGTTAGTGCAGGCGGGCAGCTATCATCCTCCATTAATGGTTCTGCGTCTTCCTCCCCAAAAACTACCTAAGGTGGTGTTTGGATTTTTTTAGAAGATCCAACAACCATGGATTGGACAGGGTTATAATTGCTGTATAAGAATTCTGGCGGGTTTAGTCGGCCTCAGAGTCACAAACAAACATTACGACAAAATATGCAACAAAAATCCGAAGGAGGAACTAATCAGTGAAAAATCCCTTTTTTTGAATTGTAGGTCAGAATTTGAACCCTATTTATCGTGAATAAAACTTAAATAAAGGTATCAGAGTATCTCTTTGATCTAATTAGGTCTGTATACCTATCTGCTAGTTCTTACATAGTCTCTTTAGCTTCTTTCGTCCTGTAAAATAGGATAGGTTAAATTATACAATTGTTATCGTTATCGAAAAAAAAATGCAACAAAAAGAAAGATGCTTGACTGTCAACAAACATAGAATACTACTTACCTATAAATCCCATTTCATACACCAAAAAATCAAAGTTACACAAAGTTAATGATTTAACAAATTTTAGCATTTCATCAAATCACAAAAGGATGATTTAAGTTCTTTTATGCCAGCTAAAACGCCAAGGTAAGCAATATAAAGAACCATTATCATCCGCTTGATACATTGACAGCGTGTGTCTTGGTCTTGCAATAATGAGATGTGCCTTTTATTCATATAATACTTCCGTGGCACATCGCTATTGCGAAGGTTATATTAATTGATAATTTGTAAAATCTCTTTAAACGACTCATCATCGTTGGTTCTGAAAGACTCGTAGTGACGATCGAAATAGAATCGTTGTTTGGTGTTCTTTATGGCGGTGCAATACGTGATGTCATTATTGTTTAACAACTATCAAGCCAACCCCCACAAAACACAAGTAAGGTAAATAAAAGAAAGCTTCATCCTCTACCGTTTGTAATCGCAAGGATTACAAGCTAATGTACAGCCTTACACGTACATATTATCGTCCTACTAAGTACTAGTAGTATTAACGATGCTCCTCAATATGTTCCACCGATGACTAATTGTGGAATGTGACAAGTGACATACTCAAGCAAAAATAAGCTGACAAATTACTAGGAAAGTCAATTTTTTGTTTTTGTTTTTTTTTTTTGTAAGCGGAAGGACTCGAATTCGAGACCTCTTGCTTACACTCCCTCCCCCGTACCACCCAACCCAACCCTCCCCTAGAAAAGTCAATTAATTTGTACTAATAATGCACATAGAATATTGCCACAGGATTTACATTTTTAAAACAAATTTTTTGGCTCTTGACGCAATAAGCTTATAGGTGGATGCCCCGCCCCTTTCACGTAGGAGATAACGATGAGCAAATAATTCACAATTGGATGCTGTCATTCTTTCCCATTTCTTCTGTATTATTGGCCAGATGTGAAATGATGGAAATTGACGTAGAAGTGACAGTTGTCCTCTGCGCATTGAAGAAAGATTAAAAGTTAATGAAAAGAATAAAATGCATTAAACTTGTTGTGATTTTTTAATTAAACTTAAGTTATCCCCGTGATTTTCACCCTTCAGAAAAGAGGCACGTACAATGCATCAAGAAAAGTTCTCCGTTTCAACCCACGTTGCAACAAGCTGGAAAACGAAAGGAAATCGTATTAAAAGCTTATTGAGGGGGCAAAACAAGGACACTGGCGTAAAGCATTGGATCACAAAATCTCTTAAAAATATGATGCGCCTCCTGATTTCTCTCAATTGTACATATATTTTTATCATCGATATCCAATCATGAAAAGGACATTTACTTACTTTTTTGAGTTAATATTTTATTGCCTCCATCGTATCGCTGTAGATTTTGGCTTATTCTGACTGTTTGGATTGTAAATTATTTGAGATATTTTTATTGTAACATTTTTTGTGATTTGATGTATGTGAGATAAAAAGGTAATTGAAAAGAGAAAAAGGTGTATTGGAAATTGTAATGATGATGTAAGCAAATAAATTTTGACAAATAATCCTCTATCCAAACAAACCCTAGTCTAGATTCATTTCCCTTTAATGTCCCATGAGTTGCATAGAGCGCACAACAATTTATCATGATGGATCTTTAACAAGATTGGTGTAAAAAAAAAAAAAAAAAGAATGTTAAGCCTTGTTTGGATTGCGATTTTTTATCGGAAAATTATGTCGTTTTCTGTGATTATATTTTTCTATTATCTTTTTCTCTCATATACATCAACTCGTTACAGTAATTTTTCCATGAAAAATCATGAAAAATGCAATCCAAACACAACCTATATCCTATATGCTATTTTGAATATTGCAAAATTATGCTATGGAAGGATTGTGTCACAAAAAGGAAGAAAGTGTGTGTTCCAATGCAGATTCTTTGTGACAAAAGGTTTACACAATTTACTTATTCATTTAATGATTGTGGCACAATAATAAACTAAAACAACATAACCAAAGAGCCTTTGGTCTAGTCGTTAAGATTCAGATATGAGAAATAAGATGTTTTAGGTTCAAATCCTCCTTTTACCTTCCTCACTTTTTAAATTCCACCCTCTTTTACTAAAAAAAAAATAATTAAGAAAAACTAAAGCAACCGATTTAGTTTACATCTATACTATTTTTTAAATATATTTTTA